AGCCTGCAAGGGGTCAATCTTGTGAGCTAAACACCAATTACAGAAGCTTTTCCATGTGGCATCGTCTATTCTATTCGTCGAGGGTCGCCTGGATTGCTGGATCATGGCTATGACCCTTGACGAATATGGGTCTAGACCTAAGGCCTGCCTCTCAAGTGCCAGACGGTTAACTGGAGCCATTGAGGGTCCGGATGACGTAGCTTCCCTTGAATGAGGGAGATCCGATTGGCTGGAATCCTCCATGGAGGGGATGCGGAGAGCTCCATCAGGTCGGCGAACCAAGATCGTCTCGGCCAATGCGGGGCGACCAGGAGGACCCCTGCTTGTTCGCGAAAAATCTTCCTGATCATGGCAGGTAGAAGGGGTAGGGGACTGCGGAGTGCATCTGTTCCCTCCGCTGATGGAGACGGGAACCTGGAAAGGAATCTGGGAAGCTGTGAGTTGGCTGGGGAGGCAAAAAGGTCTAAGGTTGGGGAACCAAACCTGTCACGCTCTCTCTGGAGATCTTTGGATCCCACTGCCATTCGGAATGGTCCACGGTGGCTCCGCTCAGTGAGTACGCCTGCTGGTTGGCCACTCCGGATATGTGCTCCGCCCTGATGGAGGCAAGATTCAGTTCCGCCCAAGACCCCAGCAATCTGGCCTCCTGCTTGGGAGGCCTGGGCCTTGTTCCCCCCTGTGTGTTGACATGGGCCTTGGCTGTGATGTTGTCGGTTAAGACCAGGACGTGCTGTCCCTGTACTAAGCTGCTGAATCTCTTTAAGGCCATGTGTATGGCTCTTAGTTTCAGCCAGTTTGTATTGTTCTTTAGGTCCTGCCTGGACCACTGATCTTGGGCCCAGAGTGTGTGGAGGTGTGCCCCCCACTCAAATAGACTTGCGTCTGTGGTGATGTTGGTCCTGTCTGGTTCTTTGAATTCTGCTCCCCGTGACAGTGCCAGAGAGTCCCACCAACGACAACGACGGTGGAACTCGGACCTTCTGGTGAGATGTGCTGGTATGAAGTTTCTGAAATGGAAGGAGAAACCACTGTAATTCTCTGGCATGGAGACGTGCCCATGGCCCAATTTGCACGCAGGACACCATCTTCCCTAGTAGTTGTGAAAGGGAGGCCAATGTGACTACTCTGTCCCTTCGGATCCAACGTACAAGGGTCTGAATAGAGTTCTGTCGGTCCTGAGATAGGTAGACCGTACAGTTGTCTGTGTCTATAACTGCGCCCCAATGCAGGAGCCGAGTTGTTGGTGTGGTATGACTTTTCTGGAAATTAATCGAAAAACCGTGCTCCTGAAAACCCCTGATGGCTAGGGCGAAGTCTGCCTGAGCGCTTTGTAATGATGATGACTGAATTAGAATGTCATCTAAATAGCATTGGACTCTGATGGGAAATTGTCTAAGGTGGGCTGCGATCACTGCCAGTACCTTTGTAAATACTCTCAGTGTAGAAGAGAGGCCAAATGGAAGGGCTCTGTACTGGCAGTGGCGTCGGGCATAACTGAATCCGAGGAATTTGCGGTGTCCTGGAAAATGGGATGTGCAATATGCCTCAGTCAGTTCTATTGATGTAAGAAGTCACCTTGCCTGACGCTGCCCAGGATTGATTGAAGTGCTTGCACCTGAAATTTCTTATACCTCAAGTAAGGTTTAGACCTTTTAAGACCAAGATCGCCCTCCAACCCCCTGAAGTTTTGGAAATGACGAAAAGGTTTGATTAAAACCTTCGTCCTTCTTGGTCTTGTGGTGCTGGTTCAATTGCTTGTATTTGCAATAAATGAGCTATTGCTTCTGACCTGAGTTCAGCTCTGGTCCTGTTCGTTGAAATAGGACAAAAGCGGAATTGTCAGGTGGATGGGAACAAAATTCCAGTCTTAGACCTTGTGTAATGGTGTGTAACACCCATGCGTCCGTAGTAGTGGCCGCCCAAATGCTGGAATAGAGGGCCAGCCGGCCTCCTATGGGAGGTGAGGCTGCAGGATCACTTGCCTCTCTTAAAGAAACGGCTCCCTGCACCTCGAAAGGACCACTTGGACTGGAACTGTGATCTGCCTCTGTATGCTGAACGATCTTGCTGTCATTCCTATCTCTGAAAGGAGGGGCGAGAAGCCTGGGCCCAGTCCCAGGATGGGGTTGGCCGAAGGGCTATCTTCTGTAGTTACTCTGCGACATGCTGTCTCCCCAGCATCTGTCTCCTTTCTTTGGTGTGTTAACCAAGGTCTTATGTTTGTCCTTACCTTCGGTTAGGTATGGCTCTAACGCCTTACTAAAGAGATATCCACCTGTGTAAGGTTTAGAGGCCAGACGCCACTTGGCCTTGGTGTCTGCTCGTCAATTTCTGAGCCAAAGCAGCCCTTGTGCTGAGATGTCCGACGCGATGGACCGGGCAGTGTATCTGGCCATATGCAAGGAGGCACCTGCTAGGTACTGGGACCTGGCCACCAACTTACCCAGATTCTGGTGAGCTCTGAGCTGGTCCAGAGGGATCATGTCCTGGAGCTCCCGTAACCACAGGACCGAAGCCCTGGCAAAGAAGGCCATGGATGTTGCTGCCCTTGTTGCCCAGGCTGATGCCTGGTGAGACCTGCGTAGGGCGGACTCAATCTTTTTGTCTTCTGCCCTGAATGCCTCATTTATGTCCCCAGGGATGTTAGAATTGGGAAACAATGAGCTCAAAGGCTCATCAATCTCAGGAATCTCCGAAAGGGAAGTCAGAGAAGGGGCCACATTAAACAATGTTCTCTCTGCCGCACCAGGGTTTAAGGGATCCTAGGTTCTCCCATTGTTTTTGAACTATACTTAGAAGGGTGGGAGGAGAGCAGGGAATATGATTCTGTGAGACAGAGGGGTCAGTGTATATGGCATGGGGACCCTGGGATGTTGAGGGGGGGTCTCCTGTCCTTGGCGAGGTTTGCAGTAGTGCAGGCCTTGAGTAGCAGGGGATTGAAGAAGAATGGTCAAAGAGACCGACAGGAGGGTGGGTTTGGATGGGGCGATGCCCTCGTCCTCAGACAAAATCAGGCCAGATTGTTCAGCTCCTTTAGGTTCCAAATCTGATGCGGGATCATCCATCCAATCCGGAGATTGTGAATGTTGTGTGGCCTGGGGGGGGGGTGGCTGTGGGGTGTTGGAGGCCATAAATTGAGCCACAGCCTGGGCTATCATGGACTGGGGGGGTTCGGGTTCAGGGCCTGGTTCTCAGAAGAGCGAAGCCCTGCTGCAGTAGGGGTGAATGTGGCCTGGGCCCTGAGGTGTCCTGGCCGGTTATACCCCTCCCTCACTGTTAGGTTTGAATCTGACTGGGGAATTCCCCTGGGGGGAGACCAGGCCCCTGGGGCTGAGGCACTATGTGAAGAAAGGGGCTCAAAGGTAGACTTTCCTATTGTGCCTGTCAGATCTGGGGAGGTGGCCCTCAGTCTTTGGCACTCTTCCTCCCTCTGTGGCTCCCTGCTTCGCCGGGCTCGCTTGGTGGTGCTCTTTCCACTTGCCTGTGTTTGGTATCTCCTCTTGGCCGACTCGCTGCCTTTCTCTGCCATGATGAGTTGCTCTGGTCTCAACCTTGGCAAAACGCCCCCCCCTCGGCGCTGTACTTCACCAAGGGAGTCTACAGAGATAATTCAGCCCAAGAGGGGGGAGGGCGGGGAATTAATGGGCACCCCGATCACTCTGGATCGATCAGGCCCTCCCCGGTTGAAACTGCTCTCTCGAAGAGCCTGCTACCGATGATCGAATACTGCCTTCAGGAGAAAGCTCCAGGCAGTCTGGGCCTCAGCCACACACAAAATGTCCGCCGAGGGCTTCAGCCACACACAAAAATGGCCGCCGATGATCTCAGCCACACACAAAATGTCCACCGAGGGCTTCAGCCACATACAAAATGGCCGCCGAGGGCTTCAGCCACACACAAAATGGCCGCCGATGACTCCAGCCACACACAAAATGGCCGCTGAGGGCTTCAGCCACACACAAAATGGCCACCGAGGGCTTCAGCCACACACAAAATGGCCACCGGGAGGCAATTCAAAATGGCGGCTGCCAAATTCGCACCCTGAAAAAACGGCCGTTGGAAGAAGGCCTTGAGGCCTGGGGCCTAAGCTACAACGAGCCCTCGTTCCAAGGAATCGCCTGGGCTCCTAGTGCAGCGGATGGCAGGTAATTAGGCCAGCTGGGAGACTCTGAGGCAGTCCGAGGCCTGATACTCTTTGTATATAATCAATTCTAATAATAAATAAATAGCCTGAGCTAAGGAAATAAATGAAAAAAAAAACAGTCTTCTGCTCCAGGAGCGAAGAAAAAACGCGTCTTAGAGCAAAGAGACTAAGTCTAAAACTGGGGTGCACTTAGCACAGAGGGGCGTTACCAATTTCAGACTTAGTCTAATTGGAGCAGATAGATTAAGACAACCCATCCGTGGGTTCTCCATCCAATCATGCTGGAGAAAACAATCTAATTTTATAAATCTGGGATAACAAACCTACATTGTACATTACAAGTTAACATTTCCAAAATTTTACAGTTGCCCCCAAAATGAATATACATCTACTGTATGTGACAGCAAAGACTGTATTGAAATGTATATATTTATTAAAGTAATATTCCCCCCCAAAAAATCAGTAAGGAAATTATTTATAAAATCTATTTACATTGGTTGAATGTCAAAAATGTGCCTAAATTTTGACAAATATGTACTGAAATATATATAAATTTTAATATGAAATTTGAAGAAAAAAATCTATATTTTGATTAACAAGATGTAGTATTTTATTTTATTTATTTCTTAGATTTTTAAGCTATTCTCAGAAATATCACATCTGCCCAAATAGGTGATCTTGAACAAAGTAATTATGATATTTGTAAAATAACAATAGCAACAGATTTATAATTATTGTCTTGGACTACTAACTGTCTGCTTTGAAGCAAAATGGTTAATCAGAAGCCAAAATAATGTTATATACTTGTTGGGTTATTTAAATTTAAAGTAATATGTTTTTCCTTCCACTGGGATAGCTCAGCAATCTCAACCCTGTGGAGAAGATTCATTTCCACTTGACTGTGAGGATATATACGATCAAGGTTCAGAGACAGATGGCGTGTACCTCATTTTTCCAGCAGGACCCAATGTCCCTGTCCCCGTATACTGTGACATGACCACTGATGATGGAAAATGGACGGTAATGAAGTCCTTGGGATGGATTCAAAATGGGAAAGTGTATCCTATGGAGGCGCAAGAGATCCTAGCACTGAGTTAGATTAGTAGAGGCTGTTCAGTGCTAGTCTGGTGGAAATTCCATAACCTTGATTTCTTTGATCTTGGCCTGTTTTCCAGTTGTAGTTTCAGTATTATTTGTGGTGCTAATATTGTTCAATATAAAGCTTTAAGAAACTTGTAGTACTCTATTGCAACCATTTGTTTCCCTGGGAGTTTAAGGCAACAAATATGGAAGGGTGTTTCCCCTCATTTTATCACCACAGACTCCGCTCAGGTAAATTGGACCAGAAGAGAGGGATTGGCCAAAATAACTCATTGAACTCTAATGTCAAATGGGGCTATGACTCTGGATCTTTTCAAACTAGGTCCTACATTACTCTTTTTCATGAGGCCAAGGTATCTGTGTCTCATGTGAAACTTTTCGCTCCTTAATTTGAACTTCAGAAGTATTTAGGATCAACCAGGTACAGACATTTTTTGTGATGTCTCCCTGTTTATGGAAGAATGCCATCCTTCTACAGATATAAGCAATTCAGTACTTTTCCTTGTTTTGTTAGCCAATGTAGTAGTGAGATAGTGTCCAGCATGGAAAAATGGGTTATAAAGACTAGAAGTCAAACAAGCAAATATGTATTTGAAATAGGAAGATGCAAATAGGAAGGTGATGAATTGTGTGCGCATTGAAACCAAGACTGTTAGAACAGTGGTTCTCAACCTGTGGGTCAGGACCCCATTTGGGGTCGAATGACCATTTCACAGGGGTCGCCAAAACAATGCAGTCCGCCATTTTTTCCCCCTTTTCCTTAGCTGTGCTACGCCCTTTTATTCTATTGGCTTTTGAAAGCCAATAGAATAGACTCTCTTGAATAGAGTCTAATTCTATTGACTTTCAAAAGCCAATAGGAATTGTCCAGGCTGTCTCTGCCCTGCTGAGCCTGCCAAAAGTCCCAATCTGCAAACGGTGCTGCACCAGTTGAGTAGTCCTCGACTTACGACTGGTTGGGGGTCGCGGCATTAAAAAGGTTGAGAACCACTGTGTTAGAATAAGGCTTAGCATAGTGTATGAATCATTTTGAATTATCCAATTAACCACATTTCAGCAATGTAGCTTAGCATAATGCATAATCTTCTTGATTATTTCCTTTCCATGGTGTTGACAGGAACGCAGCTTCAAGATAACTGTTGACAAATTGATGTTAATTTTACAATTATCTTTCCTCAAAACTGTTATACTTTGCAGGTTTTCCAGAAACGTTTCAATGGGTCAATCAGTTTCTTTCGGGGCTGGAATGACTACAGGTTTGGCTTTGGCAAAGCAGATGGTGAATATTGGCTTGGTAAATATAAAGGGGTGCACGGAAATTTCTTCTTCTCTTCCTCCTTTTTCCTTATCGTTTTCCTCCTCCTTTCTGAGGAGCCTCTGCCAAAAGCCATTGATTTTTCCCATCCTTTCCCTCACTGGCTTCTCCTCAGTCTCAGAATTTTATGCATCTCTTGATCCAGACATCTACTTTTGCCAGAAACATTTGGAATGTAAAATGTTTGGGTTTCTCCCCTAAGCAGCTGAAACCTGGGCCAGAAAACTACATCATGAAGTGCAATTGCTCTGTTTATTATTAGTCTAGGCCAGCAAGCACAGCCAAGAACTGTCTTGCTTTTCTGTCTGGCCAGCACTTTTTTGTCAAGAGAATGGGGGTCATCCCCAAAGGATAGGAAAATAAATGGCGGTGCTTTGCACGTTTTCCCAAGGCATCAGAACTATGAGCCTACAACCTCTTTTCCCACCTTTTCTAGGACTGCAAAATATCCATCTTCTCACTCTGAAGCAGAAGTATGAGCTACGTGTGGAACTGGACGACTTTGAGAATAATACTGCCTTTGCTAAATATGCTGACTTCTCCCTTTCCCCAAGTGCAATCAGTGCAGAAGAGGATGGCTACACGCTCCATGTATCTGGCTTTACTGATGGAGGGGCAGGTAAGAGACCCGATTCCCAGTCCCATTTGAGTATGACATAGAGTAGACTGAGTCTCAAAACGAAAATAGGAAACCCTATTTACAGTATGATAGTTGTGACCCATTTGCATCTGTCTTTTTTTAAAAGATGGAAAGCATGGTATTGTCTCAAACTTGGTAATCAGGCATTTAAGTAGGATCAATTTGGATCTAGGTATTATCATGAATATTAGGATGTTTCTCTCCAGCCTAGTATATAGATCAGTCATCTACATCTTGCTGTCCTTCTCATATATTGGGCCTATAATTTCCAAAATCCTTCTGGGCTAAGGGTGTCCAAATACTAACATAAACCCACTTATGTCTTAAAATGATGTCTACAGCCAGGTCTTTTTCTTTCCCTCAGACAGATGTTTTACCCTATACCTTGATATATGGGATCAGAATATATTATGGGGAAATCAGAAATAATTTAAAAGGTTTTTAACAGCATATTCCCTCCAATCTTGAAACACAAGTTATGAAATGTGCCCTAAAACATTCCAATGTCAGCTATCCCTGATCAGAATATGTAGGTTCCAATGAATATACTCTCAAATAGGCACACAAAGAAACTACTCCTTATTCCTACCAGCTTTGTAAAGTCTCATTTTTACCGTTATTTCTCTTTATGTTCCCACCAGGTGATTCACTGTCCTATCATAGTGGCCAGAAGTTCTCCACATTTGACCGTGACCAAGATCTCTATGTGCAGAACTGTGCAGCTCTCTCATCAGGTGCCTGGTGGTTCAAGAGCTGCCATTTTTCCAACCTCAATGGCTTCTACCTTGGTGGACCACATCTGTCCTATGCCAATGGCATTAATTGGTACCAGTGGAAAGGCTTCTACTATTCTCTCAAGAGAAGTGAGATGAAAATACGTCGTGTTTGAGATCCGAGGCAGCTGGTGGCTTTTCCCATTCTTCTACTCTAGTGGCCATTTGAGTCTTGATGTAGACTGAATTCCCAATTATTAATGTGTTTCATCACTTTGACTCTGTTTTTCTACCTTTAGCATGCAGCCTGCACCAAATTATTCCTCAGAGAACACAACTCTCAATAAAGATACCCATTTCTCATTACTGAGATCAAACACAACTAGATAATTGCCAGTGCCCTATACTACAATCCTACTAATCATCACAATTATGGTAGCCACCAACCTTCCTGCTCTCCCAGGAAACCTAGGTTTGTTTCACCAACATCAGTATGATTGATCATGGGTCCTGCCCGCCATTTCAATGTTCCAAATCAAAAATTGCATTGGGAACAAACCAGAAATAAACCCCATCTCTTCTAGCTCCTCTTCAGCATTCAGCAGAAAAGAAAAAATGGAGGAGGTTATAAGGGTTACGGTAGTGTTCCAGGCAAATCTGCCTGCCTCAATTAATAAAATAAGGTAAAGTGTATTGGCAGAACTGGAAGAATGGCTCATCTAAGCCAGGTTCCTGCTTTATTCCCATCCCAATCCTCCAACAAAGGATTTATAATATTCAAAGCTACAGGGACCAAAGGATTTAGGACAGAACTCAGAAAACATTTAAGAATGATCAGAGTAGACACATCCAGTTGGAAGTTTCTGGCAGATAGGAACAAGTATTGTAAGGTTCAGGGAAAAGGTTCCAAAGGTGATAGCAATTATCTTGCTTTTAAAAATAAAATAAAATGAAATGAAATGAAAGTCTATTCTCCAAATATGGACAATTGAGAGACCAGTAGAACTGTTAACTATAAAGACTTTTAAGGCCACCCTTTCTGGGCCAAATCCCACCCCTATACAGCTACCCTATCATTAAACTGTTTCTGCAGCATCTGTCTGGACAGTGACATGGTCCAAGTTCTAAAGTAAAAATCTGAAGATGGAAATCCTCTTTCTAGCTTGCTCTCGTATCTTGCCAAAAGACTTGTTTTGACTACAGCCTGTTCACCATCTGGATTCTGTTCTCAGCAATTAAATTTATAGGACACCTGAGGCTACAATACTGAAATGGGCAGAGATCCCAGAAAACCTGATGTTCTTTTGCACGTTCCAAAGAAATCAGTTTGGATCTTGCAAAAGCATGTTGTAGGAGAGAGTGATAAATTGGTGGTTAGACCTACAACAGTGAAGGTTTGGATCTGTAATTTGTGAAAAGGGGAAGTTGAAAATCCAAGCCAAAGGTTAAATTAATTAATTTCTGGAAAGATTATACAAGAGGTAAGAACAAGTCATTAGCAACCATGCAAATTAAGACAAGGGAATGTAATAGAGAAAACAGATGTATTTGGAGCCTTAGAAAGTGATGTCTTCCTTTTGGGGGGAGGGGGGCACAATGAAATAGTTCACTGAGAGTGTAAAGGAAAGAAGACTTGTGGAATCCTTAGTGCTCTTTGAGCTTGGTTGTTTGCTTGCATATGAAACAACTCGATAACATCATCAGCAATAACAGCAATAGCAGATTGAAAAGACTGCAGTAAACAACCAAGCTCAGAGAGCACAAAGGACTCCACAATTCAACCTTGAGCTACATATATTCTCTTTGAAGGAGAACTTCCTTGAGGATAAGAGGCTTTAATTCCATAAGTCACTACAAATTTCTCAGCACACCATGCTGCTGTCCAAACAGAATTGGGAACTGCATAGTTTACCCCATACTGAAAAACTGAATCTACAGGAAACCAACAAAAATTAGTAGTGCATTTGAATTCTATTAACTATTAGAAAAAAATAAAATAAAAAGAAGTACAGATTCAAACCTTCACTGTTGTAGGTCTAACCACCAATTTATCACTCTCTCCTACAACATGCTTTTACACTTTTAGAATTTTTCTGATATCTTGATTTTATATTTAATCTCTTTTCCACAAAGAATAAATGAGTGTTTATAATGTAATTTAAGATATGATAACAATGCCCACTACGTACTGCTTTAGTTTTGTACCCAAAGCAATCCCAAAGTGGATTTCACTTGGAAATACAATGGATGTCAGCAAATAGTTCCATGGCTATGCTGATACTCGAAGCCAACTAAGGATGGTATTCCCCATTCCCCTCCATTTTACTTATTACCTTAGCCTAGGTGTTAGAACAAAGATAAACTTAGTGAAAAAGAATTGGTGATTCATCAAGGGTTTATCAAAGGAAGGAGGGAGAGACACAGTGAAATCATTATATCTTTCTTTACCACTGGAGAGCATGCTGCCCTAGTCTTTATCACCATCAGCAAATCAAACTCTTGATGCTGACAAGCATGTTACTTTGCTATTATTCCTTAATGGTGCTATAATAAAGGATTGGTTTTTTTCATAATTTTTAGGATAGAGAAATTCATGTGTAACCTTACCCTTTGGGATATCTGTAGCCAAAAAGAGAGATACAGCAGAAGAAGTTACATATTTCAGATTTTTCCAACTCTTAAAATGTATACCACCTGAGAAAAAGACTCTAATCTGACAATTTTTTCCCTCATCCTTGCAATATTCTTTAACCTCATTCTCAGCCTTCTGAGCCTCAGTGTTTCCCAATGCTGTTCCTCACAGTAGCTTCCATTCTTTCTCCAACGATGCAAAGGTGCTTACACCTCCCTAATCCCAGAGGTAAATTACCAGTATTAGTGCTTAGCAAAATGGCTTTAAAGCAAACAGTTTTATAATTATGGATGTGCTTTTCAGAAAACCTTTAGCCTCATCTTGCAGTTGGGATTCCTACCATGAGGTGAAACTGATCAGAATAGGCTCATCATCTGGAAGTGATTTATTGCATTCTTGGATTAGCTCGGGCTGCTTCTTCAGAAGGAGCTGTCATAGGAATAGATGGTTCTCTTGGATTTGCAAATAGCAGTTCCTTAGGTGAAAGAGGAAAGATGGAAACAATATAGAAGTGGCTGAGGAAGGGGGAAAGGGAGATATTAATCAAGTTACAAGTCAACAGTTTAAGCTGCCTCCCCCCTTCTCCTCCTCCTTCTTTTGTCCTTCTTGTATGACCAGGTTCCTCCCAACCTCATTTCAAGTTCATAATTAGGATCTGAGGTAAGTTGAGGTTATTCAATGCTCAGTTTGGTGAGCTAAATTTTGGTGCTAACTGGAAATGTTAATCTAAGTCTCTCTGGAGTAAAGACTTCAGTTTCTAAACTTCAAAAAAATCTCATATAATATTATTTCTGAAATATCCATTTTTTCACAGTTTTATATTCCTATCTCAGGCAATATCAATCCAAAGTAACTTTCTTTTTTTCACCCACTTACATTCCATAAAACATATTTCTTATTATTCTTATCTGAAGATTCTTGTCAATATAAAGTCTAGCCATGTGGTTGTCTGGCCATGAACTATCATATTCTAAGCAGTTTTATGATACCTAGCCTATCATATTCTGATCTTAGTCTATCATATTCTGTCTAAATTTCAAACCATTTCCCTTTCCTGCCAAGCCCACCCTTCAATTTTGCCCTCAAATCTAATTAATAAAATGCAATGCAACTTTAACTGTGCCGATCTCTCCATTTTATCTTACAGTAATCAAACAATAGAAATTTGTTCCACCTCTACCTCATTCTAAAATCAGACTCTCCCAAATTCATAAAATAATTATTCTTTTGGCTTTTTCCTAAAATTATTTTCAGATTGGTTTCTCCCTTTCTTCCTATCTGTTCTTTAATGAATTCTGAAGTTTCTGCTTTAAATGTTTTGAGATTCTGTCATTGCATAAAGTTTCAGTCATCTATGGAGAGGCAAAAAAGAAAAGAGTGGCAGATAGGCAAAATAATAATTTTCCTTGAATTTCTTCAAATTGCAGAGAGAGGCTAGTAGCAACTTTTCTGACTAGTATTATTTATTTAAAGGCATAGCTTTTATGAGCTGCCATTCACTTCATTAGAGGCATGAGTGGCTAAACTCATGAAAGATTTTAATTGGGGGGGATTGTACCGATGCAGATTATACAAATACAGATAGCCTTCAGTATATTGGAAACTATAATGTCCTAGTTTTGAGGACAGATAGTACCTTTCAGATTTTTTAACTGTAACTGCCACAAAATCCAGCCAACATAGTTGATGATCAAGGATTCTAAGAATCTAAAATATTTGGAAGATTCTGAGTTTAATTGTTCTCTGAGCTACTGTTTCAGGAGAACAAACTAGAGAGATGATCCATAGGTAGGAGAGTGCTATACTTCAAAAAGAATAGCTGAGAATTCAAACCCAACAGGTGATGGCATCTAGATTAACTTTTCTAGACTTCAAAACAAAGCAAGGTCAGGATCAGTGAGTTTTTGGGTGGAAGAATAATAGGAAATACCAAAACTAGTCTGAGAAATTTAAAAAAAAAAAAAAACACAGAAGGCGACACTGGCAAATCACTTCATTAACAAAAATACACAGTGTACCCATGGAAAAACATTGAGGTCAACTCAAAGGATGCTACCACTTATAAAATGATATAGGGTATGAATAATTTTGAGGGAGAGATGCAAGAGGAAGATGGGGAAAACAGCCCTCTCTCAACAGAGGGGGAGGGATAGGACATCATCTATCTCCAGTCTACAACACAGTTCCTTTCAGCAATTCCAAGAAGCCTCCACACCCATTTGCACTACTCAGGTGACCTTGAGTACACAGATAAACCTCCAAGAGGCCTCAACAACTCTCCAAAAGAATGTAAATGATCAGCTGTCTGCAAGGAATATAAATCCTTCCATTTCCTACCATCCAGTCAAGAGCTGAAAAGCTCCTTGGATGAGAAGTGAAATGTCTTCAAAGAGAAACAAGGAAGTCCAGTTGTCTCTTGAAAAAGCACCTTTGGGATAACCATGACCTGGATGACTGAGAATCTCCATAGACATGGGTATATATAGTACCTGTGTGAGTAAAGAAAAGCTTGGTGGGATCTAAGAAACCACAAAAGACAAGAAAAAAGAGAGTTAAAACAGGATGAACAATACGCTTTTTCAAATGACAGTCAAATGTGGACTAGAAACCTATAATCAATCCTAAAGCCCTGCACATATACAGGAAGCCCTTGACTTACAACTATTTGTTTAGCGACAGTTTGAAGTTACAACAGCCCTGAAATATAATGACTTACAACAGGTCCTCGTACTTACAACTTCACAGCATCCCCTTGACCACGTGATCAAAATTCAGTTGCTTGGCAACTGGCATTTATTTACAATGGACCCAACTTCCTGGAGGTCACATGATTGCCATTTGTCATCTTCCCAGCTGGCTTTTGACAAGCAAAGTCAACAGGGAAAGCCAAATTTGTGTAATGACTGTGTGAGTCATCTAACAACTGCAGTGATTTGCTTAACAAATGTGGCAAAAACATTGTAAAATCAGGTGAACTCACTTAACAACTGGCTTGCTAAGCAAAGGAATTCTGGTCCCGATTGTGATCATAATTTGAGGGCTGCCTCAAAACACACAAACATGCACTCTCTCTTTCTTTCTCTCTCCCTCTCCCTCCCTCCCTCTCTCTCATACACACACACACACACACACGAGTGAATATATATATATATATATATATATATATATATATATATATATATATATATGTCTTTGGTTGTTCGGGTTTTCTCCCGCGTAAAATTGGAAGTGTCTTGGCGACGTTTCGACGAAGTCCCATTCGTCATCTTCAGGCTGGTGTTTTCAGCTTCGTGCTTCGAGCAGCAATGTGTGGTCTTAGCTGTTTCTT